TTATTAACATTAATGGAATGTAAATAAGAAGAAAGAAAAGTGGATGAAAAAATTACCAACTGTAAGCAGGAATCGAACCTACGACCTACGATTCGAAGGTCGTAGGTTCGATTCCTGCTTACAGTTGGTAATTTTTTCATCCACTTTTCTTTTTTCTTTCTTCTTATTTACATTCCATTGGTTCTAATAACTTCCCCTGTACATTCCTTGGCATTACTGTCTGTTATATCTCATTATTATTGTGTTAAAAACACGGAAAAACGAGCCCTTAGGTATACACTTCTTTCCCTTATATATATATATATAAACAGTTAAGGCTATTGAAGTCTGATGCAATGAACATTTTAGGCTAGCCTTTGAGACCATGAAATATCGGCATAAAAAAGAAGCGGAAGGCCCAAGTTGATATACAATGCGAAAACGCCGAAAAGAGCGAAGGGTCATGACTCTATAGCGCATGACGAGTGCACGAGCGGAGGAGTAGCAGACAACGCGGCGCACGCACCACCTTCATGAAGCGCATGCATTTCGAAATCTCGCGAGCGGTTAGCGCTCCGCGGACCAGCGGCCATGCATTCGCGTGTTCCCTCTAACAGTGGAGCGTGCTGTACGCAGAATCTCGGTTCAAGCAGGGAGCTTCGTAGACCACACAACAGGAAATCACTTTTTTCGTAATCTGTCTTTGACATATCCATATTAATAATATGTGGAGTTTAGCGTCCCGAAACCGTCACATATCATTATGAGAGAAGCCGTATAGTGGAAGGCTCCGGAAATTTCAACCACCTGGGGTTCTTTAACATGCACCCAAATCTGAGCACATGAGCCTACAGCATTTTGGCCTCCATCGAAAATGCAGCCGCCGTAACCGAAATTCAATCCCGCGACCTGCACATGCAGCCTAGTACCTTAGCCACTAGACCCCCCGCGGTGGGGCTGTCTCTTTCGCACACACGCACACGCGCAGACGCTCATACACATCTGGTGAGAGAGAGTGTGTTACCGTTGTTGCTTCGTTGTAATGTAATCGCCACCACAATTGTAACCCGAGGGTCGGCTTTATGTATAGCGAAATTTAAGAGGAAAGAAAAAAAAAACGTGTTACATTAGAGTAAATACGGTGTAGTCAGTTTTACGTATATATGTCATGCACTTATATACATATGCATGGTATATTATGTACAAGCAGAACTTCTTAGAACTAACCGCACAACTTTACGCATGAATATTATGTCAATAGCGGACATCCCAGTGGTGCAGTTTTGTGTCATTCAATGAAATTTCAACAATGCCTAAAAGCTGTTCATTAATCATTGCGCTTGAATTTAAGTGTCAATGACTGCGCCTTTGTTATCCGTAAGTAGTACTTTATTCGTGCGTGTTTAGGTTTTGCGTATATCTTGCCTTGCTAGAGCATGACCGAAGTTCTTGTGCTCTAAATTATTATTATTATTATTATTATTATTATTATTATTATTATTATTATTATTATTATTATTATTATTATTATTATTATTATTATTATTATTATTATTATGAAAACAGGAAGAACATAGTGTCAGTTCCATATGCGCACAAGATTTCCCATAACTTAAAAAACGTAGGTAATCGCTATGGCCTAGAACTAGTTTTTTCGGCACCCAACAAGCTTAGTAAAATATGTTCCAAACTAGACCGTAAAGTTTCCATAGCAGTAAACACTAATGCTGGTAGTTGTACGGTAAATCACACAACAAAGTTGTTAAGTGTAGCCTATCAGTCGTGTATTGCTTGCCGCTAACGTGTGGAAAGGTATACATCGGCCAGACGGGTCGATGTTTGAACACCCTACTTTTAGAACACAAGCGATCATTAAGAACTGACATTCATTCTCACATAAAGAGACACTGTTCCCAGTGTGGCTGCTCACCACTGTTCAGTGACACAACCGTAGTCTTCCGTCATGGAAACCAACTAACCAGAGAAATTGTCGAAGCCTTCCACATTAAAAAAAGAAAAGAAGGATGCATTAGTCAGTCATCGGTTTCGTTAAGTGACCGAGAAGCCAGCTACCTCGAAGGACTTAATTGAGATCAGTGTTTGCATGTGTCATACTCTCCTTTTTGTCGTTTCAAAATTTTGTTTCAAACACGTGTGAATTCCCGCAAAATTTTTTGTTTTTTTATTTGATGTTACCCAGGGCTGTTTTAGTTATGTCATCTTAAAGTGTAAGCGTAAATGCCGTGTACTATCGCTTGAGTCTGCGCAAAAGCTTCTGTTGGCAATGATTCAATGTTCGTAGTTCTTTTCTGTGTCGCTAGGGTTATGGGTTATATATGAAGTGCTGCTTCTGAAATAAAATTAGTTGCGAGTGTAGCGAGTGTCGTGTGTTCTTGTCCTCTTCGTCCCCGTGAAAATTGCGCTACTACACCATATGATTAAATGAAATTCAGTGAATGTTTCCAAGTGCATGCGTTCCCCTCGCTCGAAGCATCACTGAAGCCTGGCTGGTTGGTATTGGTTGGTCTTGAATTGACTTGCACAACAGAAAATACAACGCGAATTGGCAAATAAGCACACATGGGCAGCACTGACTATCAATTGAGCTAATTGCATACAATGTAAACGTAAACGTGTATATGCACTCACGAGGAAAACTCATTGAGAAGCAAAAAGAAAGAACGCAAAAGGTATCCCCATTCGATTACTGCTTGTGCTCTGAGGAATTCGATCTCACTGTCGTTTAAGATTTCGTTACTGTGGTAGGTCTCTAGAATGATATTTTTGTTTTTCTATCTTACGCCTTAATAAACAGCAGCTTACACTGCTGATTCGTGCACTGTGCTATCAGGTTGGTTAATCGGTCATTATTTGCGAATTATCTCTGGTATGTATATGGCTTACCTACCAAGTGGCAAAGTATGACCGCGCTTACTCTCAATCGCGCTGTCCATACTTTGCCATCCGAGTTGTATCCTAAGCCGTAAAAGAAAATAACCTTAGCTCCAGTGTGGCAATCTTAAACAATCTTCATTCACACAAACTATACAAAGGTTGCATCTCTTGTTACTCGATCTGTATTCAAATTTGCCCCGAAAGATAAGCTGATATCATCTTCACGGATTGCATATTTTACGTTTTTATCACTGCCTGGGATCTCTGTAATACAGGTTATACAAAAACATTCCCAAGCTCTTCCCCGCGGCGCCCCGCATTCACCTTTTTTTTTTTCTTCTGAGCATTACAACTGCATACTTTACGGCCCGAGTTCGGCGCATTAAATACGATGAGTACGAAGAATACGATACGCTTCTAATCACTTACATTTTCACTTTTTTAAACGAAACACGTGGTTGACAAAGCATAGTCCGTAAAGAAGCCTTAAAAATAAGCCGAGGGCCAATTTTGGGCTGTTAGAACTCTCTACTCTTATGTCTGTCTCGGCAAGAGCTCAGCAAGACTTAAGCGCGTATATCGAGTATTGCTTGTGGGGAAAGCGAAAAAAAAAAAGCAATATTATGGGCAGGCGAAAACCTTTGCATATAATAATTACAATAATTGTGGTATTTTAGCACCTCAAGGCCACGATATGATTGAGGGACGCCGTAGTGGAGGACGACGCAAATTTCGACCTGCTGGGGTTCTTTAGAGTGCACCTAAATCTAGGTTCACGTGCTTCAAAAATTTTCGCCTTCATCGAAAAGTGTAACGGCCGCGGCCGGAATTCGATCCCGAGAGTCATCAGAGCCTCAGTGGACGCTGACAGTCTTAGTCCGCTAAACCGTGCACCCTGACCATCTCCCTGGTACGGTGGATCAAGTTACAGGGCAGGCTTTTTCACTGTGTCCGAGTGGATTGTCTTATTTATAGCCTTGTTGCAAGCGGCCGCAATCGCTGGCAGCTACCATATTATAAGAAAGGCAAAGCAAGGTAATCGGATACTAAAGCGGAGAGCTTATTTAGCTCTGGTGGCTCGGCTAAAGCTCTCATAATTTCTGCAGACTAATCGACTCAAAGCATCTGATATATAGAGCAGCGGCGATTCTCTGTATATAAGTTCTCGAAGAAAGAAAAAAAAAGAATTTCCCGGAACAGGAAGCGCATTTGATCATTCTGCGAAACGTTTGCTGGTCCCCACTCGTACTCGCGTGACTGGTTATGTATTTTCAGGTTGGACAGAACACAATAAAATCATCAACAGTGTTTTAACGTTATATAACACCTTAGCGGTAGCATCCTGCGGAATGCTGGCGTGCATGACGCGGAAGCGTCATAGGTGGCCTGCACCTCAGACAGCGCACAGTCGTGAGACACGGAACACAATTAACATTCGCAGCAGAAGCGTAAGATACGTCATAAAAATTCATTATATAAAACATGATTGCTCTTTAAGGAAAACGTCACCTCAGTTGTTTTCCCAATGCGCAGCCCATAATGACCGCTGTCAAAGGGGGGGGGGGGGGGGCGTAGGGCCTAGCCTCCTTACTATTCCCAGTGTGTTTGTTAGGGAAGGTATGAAAAGTATCGTTCACCCCCCCCCCCCCCCCCCCGCCCTGGCAGATATATGTTGATGCGCGCTGACACTGCCGAGTCAATTTGCTGTAAACAATACTCGAAGTTTCCTTGGGCAGACCATTCAGGTGCCAGCAGTTCAGTATCCAACGCCAACGTTGAAGTCTCTTGCGACAGCCAGTGCTGCTTCTTTAGTCACGTTGCCTTAGCAGCGCCGTGATATCATCCTCGCGCCGTACAATGAACACCAACGGGGAAGCTCGAGCACAGCGCTAAGCCTTCATGCTATGGTGACCCTTTCTATCGGAGAACACACACAAGCGCGACAGCACCATCTTTGTTTATTGCTATATAGTTTGATTTTTTTTCAGCGTAATATGTTTTTTCGTTCCTGAAGAGCTGATGCTTATCTCGCTCTGCTTGCGTTGCCAGATACGAGTCGGGACGGTGTCACTTGTACGAGGGCGCGCTCGGCGCTATCTCGAGGACTTCTTTCTTTTGAGCGTCTCCCAAGGGCTGTTTCAGTGTCTCCGGCGGTGCTTCTTTTGTGCCACGCGAATGCGTGGCGGCGAATCGTGCGGCTTGCAGTGCTCTGTTGATCATGGCATGCACACATCTCAAATTATGACTATTGTAGTCATTATTAATAGTTTTCGTTGTGCCAGGCGTTACCTACAAACGTCGTGCTGACTGAAACACAAAGCAAATAATTTGGGTCCCCGCGGTGTCCTACGCCCCCGCTTGCGTTCCCCGCTTCGGTGAGTCGCCACTTTTAATATTTTCTTGCTAACACTTTTGTTGACTCCGCCGGCTCGGGCAGCGATAGATGTCGCTGTCTCGTTTTGTGGATGTCCTTTATATCAGAATCACTCAAATCAACAAGAGGGTGGAAAGGGGGGGGGGGGGTTACGAGTACGGCTACCTCACAACAAATTCGTTTTCACGCTGTTCTGGAGGGGAAAAAATCCTTCATTATATATGCTATATATACATGCTGCGCTGTGTGACCTCGGCCTTCATAAACTGCTCTACGAGATGTGTACGTTAGTCAAGGGCACTTGCGCGCCCATGAAAGATTGTTTCATAGCTGCCATTTCACATTCCTTTATTATTTTTCCACCCTCATCACTAGCGCGTCGCCGTTAACGCCTGGATCGGCGGCTCACTGCAATGAAGGGGGAAATCAAATGGATTGTTTTGAAAAACGTTTTGCTCAGGTTTTGGGCTGTCATGTCTGGTCAGCCATAGCCGGCGGATCATTTTTGCAGCAGCCACGGTCGGACGTCAAAATATATGGAGGTCTATCTTTTTGCTCATTAGAAGGGCTCAATTAGTTACCGGCTATTATTAACATGGTATATACTCACTAACAGGGTACAGATCACTAATCCCGGTACCACTTCAGACGTGTTTCATCAAGATTTAAATGTATCCGCCTACTATACACGCATGTATATTCCAGCTCTGGAAGTGATAGCCAACTTGATCATCGTAATTTATCTGACAGTTCGTTTTCCAGCGCGCTTTCTTTTTGTTCTACAAAAGTAAGTTAGGAGTCAAGACAAAGTCAAGCGAAGTATCTGGTCTTGTCACAGCTGTGTAAAGTACAAAATAAAATATGTTTAGGCTTTGGTGCGACTTGAATTACTGTAGCAGCTATAGTTTTCCGCTTGTTCGTCTTTCGGAGATTGCGCGGCTGCGATCGCAAATGGACGAGATAAAGTGAGAGAATAAATAAGTGAAATCAGTGAAAGATTATTCCTTTTGAACACGGCTGGCATTGATTTCGCCGTCATATGTTAATTACTGGAAGAACAAATGACGGCCGCCCCGCTGCGGTGGTCTAGTGGCTAAGGTGAACCCGCGACCTGCTAACCCGCAGGTCGCGGGTTCAAATCCCGGCTGCGGCGGCTGCGTTTCTTATGGAGGCGGAAATACTGTAGGCCCGTGTGCTCAGATTTGGGCGCACGTTAAATAACTCCAGGTGGTCGAAATTTCTGGAGCCCTCCACTACGGCGTCTCTTACAATCATATGGTGGTTTTGGGACATTAAACCCCACATATCAATCAATCAGAAATGACGGCCAGTGTTCCAAATTTGAATTCCGTGCCAAAACTTCAGCACCTGAACGATAAAGTGTGACATCAGGCATTTCGAACAGTACTCGAGATTAAAAATTCGTAAGCTGGGGGTGTGCTGGAGCACACGTTTCGAAACGAGGCCGGACTTGCCTTTTTTAACGATGAAAAAATAAAAAAGTTTGATTAAATCTTTGGAACTTGGTATGCTAACACTACTGTGTCTTATAACGCAACGTAAATAACTTTTAGCGACAAACGGTTACGTATGGCTCAAGCAGACGCTGTCAAAATATGTGACGTCACGGCGAGCTGTTGCGGGAACTTCAAGGCGACGTCGCCACCTGTATCGTCTTTACACGCGTTTTGTCGCTTACATTAAGCGTCTCCTCGCGGTAAGAGCGGTGTAAAAGAATGCGCTGCTGATTGATAATCTTAAAGCTTACAAGCGTAAAATTGACGAGGACAGGAAGGAATATGACTAGAGCCCTGTCCTATCTTTCTGTGTTCCTTCCTGTTCTCGTGAATATTGCGTTTCCAGGTTTTTTAAGAATAAAAGTGGTGCTTTGAGTGAAAGTTTATTCTCGTCTGCTAATTTTCGTTCCTCCCTCCGCATGTTTGCTGCTGCGGCTGCGAAGGGCCTGCTGTTGAAGACGCGGCATATTCCGCCATGCGTGCCCCTGCCCTGAATAACGTTGCCCTGACGGCCACAGTTGTGGGCGGGGCAGTGGGCGTCGCGGCCTACATTTGGCTGAGACGCAAAGCAACAGACGCCAGCGATTTTGTGCCCGTGGGTCACGTGGCCAGCATTACGATTCATCCAATCAAGTCCATTGGTGGAGTAGATGTGCCTTACGCAGACTGCACGGTGGCTGGACCAGTCTACAAAGGGCTCAAGGACAGGTGAGAGCGTGCTTCTTGTTCTAGAAAATCAGAACGGTCTAAAAAGCTTATGTGGTAACTCGAAAGTAGTCACTTGCACATGGAAAGGTAAACCGCAACTGTATATTCGATAAACGATAAACATAGCGACATTATGAGCCTGAAGAGCACGTAAACCAAACCACTGAGCTAATATTGATTAACAATTCTATATATATATAATATATATATATATATATATATATATATATATATATATATATATATATATATATATATATATATATATATATCCTATACACGATCAAGGGCTGGTGGAAACTCGAAAGAGCGCAACTGCCTTTTTTGCCTGAGACATCCCAATGATGGAGAGCTCTGTTGTATCAACCGACTTCGTTGTATGGGTGTGTGGGCTGGCTTGCAGTTACAGCACGTATATGACGCACATTCGTTAACGAAAGGGGAACAACTGCACCCCTGTAACCGCTGTTTTGAATAGTGAAGTTATTGTAGTCGTCTGCTTGTTGCGCTCATCGGTCCTTTGGTTTCAGTTTCGTTGCAGGATTTCGGCGAATTTCATTAATTCGCAGTTTTTACTAGAGGCCGATTTTCCGAATTCTCGAAGGGACAACAGGTTCTTCGCATGAATAGCTTCAATTTTCTCATTAAAGTTAACCGCTAACTCAAATAATTAAAAAGTTGAATAATTTAACTTTCTTAATTACTGTTCCGAATGATGTGTACAACTCTCTTAAGATGCCTGCCGCTGCAGAAAAAGCAACTGTGAAGACAGCGAGCAAATAGCGTCTTTTGCTGATTTTTAAACAATATTGAACACATTTCTTGAAACACCCTATATATATCTCAAGTTTTTCCAATGTGCCAAACGTTTTCGAGAAGAGATGAGACACAACTTAGCGGTTATCTTAATTTTTATTTCCAATAATATCGACTGGTGGACCGGAAAACCCCGATTAAGACCGGTCCACCGGTCGAAACCGTTTGAAAGAAAAATATGAATTTATAGTTCTTGCAAGCTGTAAAGTGTTCAGTGTTAGTGCTATATTATAAATAATGGTTTAATTTATAACTTCTCCCACTCAGATGCTTTATTTAGTGAACTAATAAACTTCAGCTGCAACGACCAAAAGCTTCAGATTGCATATCCTCATCTTCAGGCTGCCATTGCGACGTCGTTTTGGATTGTAAATTTACTCGCGCACCAGCGTGAAAGTAATACTTTCATTCGCTTTAGGTAAACGTTAGCAGTACGACAGAAAACAATGCATTGACATTGATTGCAATTACTGATTTTTCGCGTTGTTTTTAATGCGGATGACATACTTTGGATACTTCGCGTTCTTTCCGCTGTGCTTCTATGTCTCTGGCAGTTTTCCCGTCCACTTTATTCGCTGGTAGAAGGGATAAAGATTAATTCTCTGATGGGGCACCCACTTCACTTGACGAGTATGCGGCGTTTGGGCATGATGGCGCTGCTTCGGTTCTCAGCCGCTGCGGCCTCATACCGATGAACGCTAAGTGCGAAAAGGACCGTCATCTTATATCCGAAGTGCGACTTTTAGCTTTTGCAGCATTCGTGTCAAGAAGGCATGCAGACGGTGTATACCCCGACTTCGTTTTCTCGGCACGCAGGCAAATGCTCGTTATCAAGGGCGACTCCTTCGTCTCAATGCGCGAAGAACCCCGCCTTGGCATGATCAGGGTCGCTTTCGATGAGGACAAGCTGACACTGACGCTGACAGTTGATGGGTATCCATCACTAACTGTGGATGCCTGTGATCCCGAAGAGCAGAGGAAACCTACGTTCACCGTCAAGTAGGTGAAATCTCTTGCCTCCACCACTAATATAGTTGTTCGTGTAGATGATGATGGTATTTTCTGAATGAAGCACGGAAAAATATTTGTCTGTTTACTTTAATGCTCTTCTGTGTTGCTTGCGGTGTCCTACAGTAGCTTTTTAAAACAGAAATGTGTTGTATGCCGGGGTTCACCACGGATTCACTGACGTATTTCCGTCACGGATATGACGTTTTAAGATATACACTAACAGAAGGCAAAGAAAAAAAACTATCAAAAATTCCACTGCCATGAGTCGAGCCTATGTGAACGTTCGCTCCTGAGCGCGCGTTGTGAAACGACTGGGATGCATATCATACGTTCTTCAGCACACGAAAGGCAAGCTTTTAATGTACACCACTTATCGTTACAAGGGGGGGGGATACTCGGAGCTCATTGACTTCAGCGTGTTTGTTGTCACTAGTGAGATAGCACGACGGGCTCGCAAGGCATGCTTTAAATAAAGACAGTCGCCCCGCGCGTTGCGATGCGTGCGCGCTTATCGCGTGTGATGGCGGCTGTTTGTACGTCTTGTGCTCTCACCGCAAGCCTTCGTTGAAAAGAGCACGAAGGTCACATTGCTCGCTGCACGGCCGCTTTTTCGAAAGGAGCGTGCGTTCTCTCTCACACACACACAAAAAGTTATAACTGTGGCAGTTGTTGGTTCACGCTTACCCAGTGTATGTTCTCTGCGTGCTTCCTTTCTACCTGAGCATACCGTTGCATTTTTTGAGCGGCTTGCCGTTCTTCGCGTGACGTCAGAATTGGTTGCTATAGCATTCATTTCTTCGCCCTTGTGACGAAACGATCAGCAAAAAAAAACTCTGCTATTTCTGTACAGGCACGTTTCACTTTCGTGTTATACCAATTCCTGTGACAGAAAGATCAGCCATGTTTTTTTTTTTTTTTTCCAAGAGCATTCACATAGGATCACTTATGCAGCTCCACATTTCAAAAACATTATGAGAAAGTTGGGAGAACGGACCGTATACGTATACTGCATGAAGAAGGCCTTGGGTGAATCCTATGGAAACATGGCCTGTGTGACACGGTATCGCCAACTACGATTCCCGGATAACGTTTACGAAATGTGGCCTTCCCCAGGCTCGTTCTTTTAGCCCACACCAACGTCAGCTGAATGACGGGAGTTTGTGAAGGGCAGAAGTGACCGATTTTGCGAACAGTTTGTAAATGGAATAAATATTTTCTAATTATCTGAAATAAATATTCTGACATTGTTTTAATTACCTGTAAACTCACGCAATTTTTTTGTTAGTGCAGCTATAAAGAGAAGCCAATAAAATGCGGACGTTATAAAAAGATTCCATAATTTACGACTGGCAATACAATGTTTTTGTACTTTCCACTGCAGTGAGAGCGTTACCATCAGTTATTGATGGACAATACCTGCCATTCGCGCACCTACTCATGCTTACTCATCGGCGAAATTCATTAACATGAGCCCGCTACCCTGTTATTGTTTGGCCTAGACAGACTATACTGCATGCTCTACTGATTCGAGGGTCCGGTTGCCTATCACGAATATGGAATCTTTCAACGGCTGGCCAACCTATAGCATTATCTTTGTGGTCTGTATATTCATCTTTAAATCTGCCTTGATGCTTCCTCGGTATAATTCTTCAATATTGTTTTTTACTTCGTTGCCATCATTGATGAGTACGATGTTTTCCACAAACCACCAATCGATAAGATATACTCCGTTCATTTTCATTTCAGCTTTTTTTTTTTTTTTCATTCTAGACAAGCAGTGAGTGGCAGAATAGAGATTGCATCTCCTTGGCGGACGCTTTCCTTGATCGGGCACTTTTCGTGCATTTTTAAAGGAATAGCTGTGGGGTCTCTGTATACGTTAGCCATATTTGTTTCTAATTTTCAAATCTTCACGACATTCTTTCCTCTTTTCTAAATTTTTTAGTCTTCTTTCCTTTATAGATATAGCATGCCAGCAATGTATAGACACCGAGAAAAATCTGTTTTTCTAATAAACAATCTCTGCCTCTCTCTCTCCCTCTCCGTTAGCCATGGCATTCACGTAAGTTTCCCGCACTCTTTGTCGACGCAGCGCTTCCAAAACCGCTGGTGGCCGTAATTTTCCAACGGGAACATGAGTATTAGCAACACCACAAGCGATAAGCTGATATGAAGCACTGGTGCTCGCGAGGATGGTTGACCTGGAAACTGCTACATAGATAAACTTCAGCGCAAGGCACCTAGCCACAATTAACGTTAACCCGACGTGCCGGCTATATCATAGGAGTGCACATGTAATATTTATGAAACTGGATAGTCGGCACTATAGCGAAATTGACATTTCGCAAATATTAGCGTCTATTTCAAAGTAATTGCGAGACCTGGCGTGGCTCTGCGGTAGAATGGTTGATTGCCGTGCAGAATACTTGGGTGCAATTCCTGCTGGGACCTTGACATTTATTCTTTGAATTCTGTCTGGTCAACGCTGCCGATGTCAGGTTTTGCTTAGCGCTCACGCTTTGAAATTACCCATGTGTGTTCTATAGTCGTTCCTGCTTAGATACTAATTTTCAATCACCTGTGGCACATTCCCGCATATCAGTGGCACATACCCGCCCGCGGGTATGCGCCACTGTCTGGCGGGAGGTGTCTGACGACGTACGGGATGGGATTGTGACATTATTCATGTCTTGACCAGCGCGTCATATTTGTCAAATTACCCTCCCAAGCTAACTTGTGTTTCCGTCAAGTTAAGGGGGTGACCACGAGAGCACCCAAACGTAAGCGACTAGACAGACGGACAGACGGACAGACGGACAGACAGACAGACAGACGGACAGACAGACAGACAGACAGACAGACAGACAGACAGACAGACAGACAGACAGACAGACGGATGAACGGACGGACGGACGGGCAGACGGACAGACAGACAGACAGACAGACAGACAGACAGACAGACAGACAGACAGACAGACAGACAGACAGACAGACACAGACAGACAGACAGACAGACAGACAGACAGACAGACAGACAGACAGACAGACAGACAGACAGACATGTACTCCTATAACTCAGCACGCTATACTATAACGTTGCGCGTCCCCGCATAAATACGATAACGAACGCTGCTTAAACGTTGCTCCAGTAAAATTGACGTCTGACGTGAGCGCCTTCGTTACGTCGAACCGTAAGCAACCATTAGACGCCAGTGCAGTCCTCGTACCTGGTAGGCCCGTGGTACTCACACGACTACTAAACTTACACAAAGGCGTCGATATGCTTCGTAAGACTTATCTGACAACCAAAAAATGCGACATAGCCATTTACTTGCTGATTGATTCGCATGATATCGATTCCCACAATGCGTGTGATATGCGGGACCTTTTTTTAGTAGTTTTAATATTTATGTACGTAATAGAATGTGTCCTTTGTCTTTATTTATGAACGTGTTTTAACGTGATAGCGTTAAAGGGCCTCGTTTAGCGGAAATTCCGTTGTTGGCGTCGGTGGTCGTAAGCGACGAATGAGTGTTGTCCGTAAATGAAAGTTCGAAATAGATGCGGATAAATAGAAAACTTTCATTCGAGCCGGAATCGAACTCAAACCATCTGCATAGCAAGCAGGTGTTGTACCACACAGCCATGCCATTGTTTGGAACTGCTTCCGGAAAAATAAGAATAATCACAGCATATCCACAGGAGGAGGAGGGATAAACAAGAGGGAAGGCAGGGAGGTTAACCAGGCACATGCCCGGTTCTACCCTACGCTGGGGGAATGGGAAGGGGGCATAAAGATGAAAGAGAGAGAGGAAAGAGAAGAGAAAGAGAGAGAAAAAACAAAAAAGGAGGATTGTCAGTCAATCGGCTGGCGCGTATGCAGCGGTGGCACTACACAAAAGTTAAAGATGGTCACGTAGGCCTGTAGCATATCCACAGAGTGAAGGATGATGAGTGGGGAAGCGTCCGTCTGTCTGTCCGTTCGTGCGTTAGTCCACGTGTCTGTCCGTTCTTCCGTGCATCAGTCCGTCCGTGTGTCCGTCCGTGTGTCCGTTCATGTATTACGCCCATGCTTCCATCCATCCATTCATCCATCCATCCGTGCGTGAATTCCGTCCGTCCGTCCGTCCGTCCGTCCGTCCGTCCGTCCGTCCGTCCGTCCGTCTGTCTGTCTGTCTGTCTGTCTGTCTGTCTGTCTGTCTGTCTGTCTGTCTGATACTGCCGGTTACGCCTGACGCAAAACAAGGTTATACTAAGAGGAGCTTCGCCCCTAAAAAAATTCCTGCCATATCCACAAAGTGAATGATGTTAGAGGAGCTTGCTCGTATATGACCTTTCCTACTATAATATATAGACGTGACAACGTTGTTATACACAATGTTAATAATTTATATTTGGATGCACTATATCAGTTTTATATACACAAAAGATGTTCTTTTACAAAGTACAAGGAAGGCGTCGCTTGATGAGCGTTGGGACTTGTTTTAATTTAAAGTTGGACTGCGATGGCATTGGCGCGGGATTGCTCGCAAGTTGCACATGCCAGCAATTATGATCATGTTGTTGTCGAACCGCAAGCGGTCGCATACCTTGCAGCTGTGGCTGATCGTGTGGTGGAGGAAGTCGCGCGCGTCAGACCGCTTTTGGCGCTTGGCCATGGTATCACGCGCCCGCACTTCTTCGCGGTTCTCTTGCCGCCGCTTACGTTTTGCTTCTGCTTCGCTAGCTCGCAGCTCCGGGTGAGCCCTCTTTGCTTCCGCTTCGCTGGCCTGTAGCTCCTGGTTTGCTTGATGGCGAGCCTCCTTCGCTACTGTTTCGCTGGTCCGTCGCCTTCGGTGATGCCCGCAGCACGAATAACCGGAGACGATATGCTGTGAGCGGCAACTGGAGAAGTGTACACTGGAAACACTGGCGTAAACGCCGGTTGCCAGCCATCGCCGCCGGACAAGGCGCAATCATTAGAAGCTTACAGAGCAAGCTTCTGCTTACAGAGCAAGCTTCTAAAAAAACACCTATATGAAGGTCATGTATAATGCGAGGAGTCTCCTTAACGCATGTAATATTAGACGGCAGAACTGTCGCATCGCGCCAGGCTTCAATACACGTGCCTCACACGAGTGACGGTTTTAAAGGCCTACGCAGACTTATTTTTTTAAATCATCATCAGCAGCAGCATCATCGGTAAAAGCATCAACAACGGGAGCAGCTGGGTAGGTTCGCCTGTTTCCATACGGACGCCTAGTAGGCATTTCGCTGATTCGAAAAAGGAAGAATTATGGCGTAATGGGCACTTCAGAATCGCAGTTGCCGTATAAATTCTAGGACAGTTTTATATGGCTTATGTGAGGCGTACAGACGTTCCTTTTCTTGCGGCGTAGTTGATGGGTCCATCGAGAAGCGACGCATAAGCTAGCGATTGAGAAGGCGATGCGAACGGGGCCCGATCTCTTGACGAAGAAGCTCGAGCGTCTTCAATCTCCCTTATCCTTTTCCCGCGTGTAGGGTAGCAAACCGGCTGTCCTCGAATAGTTGACCTCCCTATTTCGTCTACCATTCTCTCTCTTTCTCAAGCGTCCTACGATATTTTGCATTGTTTCAGTTATTTTATTTCGCCCTATACCATTTCATTATCCACCTATAGAGTCACACTCGTGTCTGCGCCTTACATGCAGGGTTCGAACGTTCAGTTATAAAGCCATTGAAGTGTCTGAAGAAGCTACAAACTGGTTCAAGAACTACCTCACGCATGACGATGCTCGTCTGGTGCGGATTATCCTTGACAAAGCGACCGTCATCAGAGGGAAGAATGGCGCTGCGCCGGTGATGTATATGTTTTCGTTTGCCATATTTCTGAGCTTGTTTTCAGCATAGTCAAGTTATATTCCACTTATTTCATTCACTGGTTGAGTTTTATAGCGCTCAGTGTTTTCTACGACGCGTTGGCAATACAGTGTTCTGGCGATAATTTTGTGTTTGTTCGCTATTTCTGGTTCAGGTGGCCTTCCAAGATGAGTCATCATTCAATGTCCTCTCAAAGGCGTCTTTGGATGGGCTGTTGTCTAAGCTGCCTGCGGATAGTAACATTCAGCGGCGCAATTTTCGACCCACGCTCTTTATAGACGGCTGTGAAGCTCACTCAGAAGTACATGTTTTTTTTTTCTTTCGAAAAACACATCGTCACAAATAACACTCACTGTGTATATGTGCAGGACCACTGGCGACGCTACAGGATCTCGGGCGCAGAGATGGCATTCTTAGACCGCACAACAAGGTAATAAGTTAAAACCTGTGAGACCAGTTTTTATTTGTATATATGTAAATAACTGCACAACTGGAAGCGTTTCATCGGGAATACATGCTGCCCAGAAATGAGCAGGTGATCATACATACGTAGAAACCACAGCCATATTTATTTTACGTTCCCAGAAAACAAGTGGTGCGTGGTCAAACCAAGGAGGATACATCTCCTTCGGTCAAACACTTTAGCAGAGTGAAAGTGGCACAATCTCACTGAAGGTGCGGAGCACAAACAGTGTCAATATTACGGTGCCGGAGAAATGGAGCAAGTTGCCGGGGGGTTTAAGATATGCATGACTAACATGATTCAGCGCTCAACGTCCACGGTGATTCAGTGATTATGGTGCTGCTGACTGAAAGGTTGCGGGATCGAATCCCGATCAAGGAAGCCACATTAACACGAAGGCAAAATGCTAGATGTCTGTGTGCTTAGATATAATTAAGTGCAAGCTCCAGAAGACCAGGTGGTCAACATTTTCGCAGTCTTGGCGTCTCTCATAATTGAGCCGTGGTTTTGGGACGTTAAACCCCAGAAGTTATTGTGATTTATACGTCTTCAGCAGGATACAAGAGATGCCAGACATTTCTCCACTTTTCCACTTATTTTTTGTGCAGTTCTCTTGTTGCTTCACTGGTTGTGTTGTCAATAATTCTGGTCACCTGACAGGTGCATCTTGACTACCGTAGATCAAGACAAGGGCATTAGGACTGACAAAGAGCCGCTTGTGACATTGCGCCAGTAAGTACGGAAAGTGGTCGCTCAATAGACGGCTCGGACGTTTTTGTGACACGACCTTGTTCTTTTGTTTTTATTTGTGCAGATACAGAATCGACAGGTCTGAAGAAGGAGTGAAGAAGTACAAATTGCAGCCCCTCTTTGGCATAGGCTCATTTCACGTCAGAGATGGCAGAATCGCGGTCGGAGATGAAGTCCACGCTATACTGTCCCCAAATCCACTACTGTGAACAGTAATTCCGGTAGCAAATATAAGATGTTTCTGTGTTTTCTTCCGACTGCTTATTATTTCAAAGGGGATTTCCACGCAATATTTACCAATATTTCGCGGTTTATATAACCGCACCGCGGACACATTTCGAAGAGAAGTGCCGAAGTCGCAACAATATGAAAATACACTATTTCAACATTATAGTGACTCGAAGGCACATTCAGCAATTAAAGGCTCGGAAAGCAAAAGTAGAGAATTACCGCAGCTTGCGCTAAGTCGTCCAAGGCTGGGTCACAGCAGAGCTTTAGTGGGCTGGTCCTGGCTTGGTTAAGCTTTTACTTTCTCACCCGTCCCTTGCTATATACAATATACAGGGCTATGCGTGCTATCTCTTTTTAACGTTTTCAAAGTCTATATGTATATCTCCTATTTATTTGATTGGCTTTATATATTTTTATTTTTATATCCTTTTATTTCTCTTGCCGCAGTTGTCCTCTCGCCTTCTATCTTTTTTTCAGTCCTCGACCACAACGGCTCTGCTGTAGGACTCCTCTAGCGCGCTTGTTCCTGACAAATTAGGCGAATCGCACTACTCTTCAGACCGGTCCACTAAAAATTAACAACAGAAGACACGGGTGGCAAACACCAACCGGGGACCGCACCTTTCAACTTATCTTGTTAGCTATCTCTGCTCAGTGCTTTGGGGATGGCTGAGCGTGTGCTGGTTCATGACGATAATTTTCTATCCATGACACACGGCAAACTTCCACCATAACACCTCTGATGTGATAGCGAAGCACGCGCATGCTTCTTAGACGGGTTCCTCTAGATTCCTCGTTCTCGGCTCTCCCAAATTTCACTCTATATAAGTGGTCTGTCTTTAGAAAAGTTTCTAGTTTTTCGGACAACTCTGTCATAGTGCTACCGTTGCAATGTGCTAGCCGCCTCATTACAGGTGGATTAGGTGTGTAGGTAAGTAAACGTTCAGGTCATCGCTAAGTTTAGATGTGGCGCCAATTAAAAAAAACTTCAGTACTTTAGGTTAGAAGCCACTTAAAGGCGCATGGCCAAAAAAAAAAAGACTAAGGAAGAACAGAGAGAAAGAGAAGCGCATCGAGTTTACACGAAAATTAGTCAAAAGCGATTAGAACCTCCTATACGTAGATGCTTCCACATAAAATTCGAAGCGCTCAGTACAGAGCAACACGAGAAGCATAGTACCAAACAGTCCCGCCGCGGTGGTCTAGTGGCTAAGGTACACGGCTGCTGACCCGCAGGTTGCGGGATTAAATCCGGGCTGCACTTCCCGGCGGCTGCATTTCCGATGGAGGCGGAAATGCTGTAGGCCTGTGTGCTCAGATTTGGATGCACGTTAAAGAACCCCACCTGGTCAAAATTTCCGGAGCCCTACACTACGGCGTCTCTCATAATCATATGGTGGTTTTGGCACGTTAAACGCCACATATCATCAGCATAGTATCAAACACATCTCAGCGAACGTCCTGAATCGTCAAAGCCAAGTGTTTCTCCATCGCACCGGCAATTAAAGGTCGAGAGCGAAAAGCCAGAAAGGCTTGCATAACCATCATGTCGCATTCGGAAGAGGCGTGCCGATACCTTGCGAACGGCCACCACCCATTAAAAATATGCAGAAACATCAAGTGGAAGCATTAAAAACACTTCCAGGTCGGTCTGTAGCACGGAACATAACGAAAATAGAGTGTGGATGCTCTAGCTCGAGACCTCACCTCACAAACCTAGTTAAGAACCTGTCACCCAGCCAGTGACAACTACCACCCAAGCAACACAGGGTGGCCTTAATTAGCTAAAATGAAGACAGTGACCATACTCGAATGAGGGGGGGGGGGAGTCAGTAAGCCCAATGCTTCTGAAGTCCCGTGACAAGCTGGTAGAGCTACGGGGTATAGCCCTCACGAATGTTAGTCCCCTCCAAGGAGTCGCTCTTGCCCTGGACCCATTACATGCACAGTAGATTCTTGCTCATCAGAGATGCACATGGCAGAATTGTGGCAGCCCTTGCAAATCTCTTAAAGGGAAGACGCAGTGTGTCTTTGTAAAATTCAAACTGGGGTCCATCCAAAGTTTATTACGACCGCAAAGCATTTTTCCAACTTTGCATGGGCGCAATTGTACGCGGTGTCACGACTCGCCAGCGACCATCTACCACATCTCATGGTGTTGCAGTGAAGACCAGGCAACCTAAATTTCTTTCAGGGTAAGCATGGAATATAAAACTTTGGGGCAATGCGAGTCATTCCTCGCGAGCTCGGACCTGGAGCTATCGCTTCTGGGTCACGTACCACTGACGGCACAAGCCAGTGGTGCCCTGTACATGGGGCCCCACCCATTTATAGCTCTTCCCTTTTTTTCAATGAAAGTTGTTGGTCGTGGTGGTGTTCGAGACGACATGTAAATCCGCAATGCCTTTCGACATGCTTGTCAATCCTGGTTGACTAACGTCCGTGTGAAGAAGCGCTTGTTCCAGAATTAGGCGTTGTGGGTAAATTATGCGCTGTCAGCAAACATTGTTTTCGTATCTTTGACGTAAACAAGACTAAATAGGTTGCATTTTGTTGAGTGAATGTAAGACGACCCTGCGGCCGTTACAAATCGAGAGAATGACGAAAACACTTTGACTTGCATTCTATTAAAAAGATAGCGCTTTTAAATGGGGACGCAAGCGCGCATGGACGAACGCGAGGTCAAACACACGCACGCACACCATATTTGTATATTAAAGGACCCCTGTCCGCAAAAGTTTCATTTGCGATAATTTTACCTAATTTGTAGCTCTGTGTGTGGCAATACCGAAATGGAACCGTAAGTGCTCTAACCTTGGTATAATTTGTGATAGCGTCATTATTGCAGACCTATTTAGCATCGGTTCAAAACGTCCGCCTAAATATTGTAAAAGAACTAGCGCCCCACAGCGCCTGAGACTGCTTGCGTTCAAGCTTCGGCTACACTGAACGCGCTGTTTTCAAATAGAGGAGGAGGGGATCCACGGGTGGGGAAGAACGAAGCGATGTGGGAGCTTTCAACGTGTGCTCCCCGAAAAAAAAAAAAAAAAACTTCACAGTATTTTGCGCGCCCGGAGATGTTCTCTGACGCCGACAATACTAGCTTAACCAATGCAATGTTTCGAGGGGGCCCCTGTCTATACGTCAAACCACTGAAAATGTTTATTGCACCTGGACACATGGATGAGCACGCACTCTTACTTTGAAACAAAATATAGCGTAGGCAACACTCATCACTAATGATCGTTAAGAAGTGGCCCCGCATGCAGGAATATCAAACAACACCAACATCTCGAGTTTCCAGATTTGGTGTCAGGAAAATGAGGTATTGGGATAGTTGGTTGTTCATGACTGAAAAAATTGCGCTACAGTTGCTGCGGAGGACAAAGTTAGGAAGGCGACAAGAAATGAAGTGGAAGTACAAGGTGTCAGGGGTCCTTTAACCGGTGTCTTGTCAACGTTCGCAGTTATAAAATGGGCTGCCCGAAATTTCCTGCAGCATCCCTCGTTGGAACAACAGCTTGGTTCATCCAGCAACAACGTGGGCGTTGCATTTACGAAACGGGCTTCGCCCTCCTGATGGCAGACAATCGTCATCAACGCCTTTTTTTTCGTTTTCCGGACCACTGGGTCGCATATCCTTTCTCGCCGTCATGTCTCCATACACACGCGCATATACACGACGCACAAGCCCACATTGCAGAACTAGCCGTTAATGCCCTTAAACGAGCGCAGCATCGGCTTAACTTCACTTTTGCAGTCTGGTGGTTACACTTAGAAGCAAAGACTCCTGTAAGGCTTCATCGCAACAAAGTCGTGCATATTTATTTCTTTTCGTTCCTAGTATGCCAAATATATACGCACTACACTACTTATTGTACGCTACTGCAGTGGGAACCAGTAAACGTTTAAACAATGCTCAGGAGATGCATAAGGTCTTCATATCTGTAGCCTGAGAGGACGTTCTTTATTACGGCCCGTTACTAGGCGATTTACTTTATAGTACCTCAGCACTATGGCGCACGTGATGTTGCACATAGAAATATAATGCTTGCAGCACGTCGGGAGCTTTAACTGATGGCAAGTTGCGGTAAAGGACTATAGCTGAGTGAAGTCAGATGAACAAGACATCGACTGAATGACTGATTTCCACTGGTTTCGGTGCCTGGTGGGTCCAGTCATGGTAGGACCTCCTTCCAATCGAAGATGTAATATCCGACAGTGTTGACCGTCAAGAGCACTATGGATATAGGGGTTGCGTTCGTAAAAAGTACAGCTACCATCTGTGACGCGCGTAAGACATACACAGTGCAACCTTAAGTACAACATAAGTTCTGGCATTTTTCTGGAAAGAAAAATAGTAGGTGTAACCTTAAGAGACAAGAAGAGAGCAGAGTGGATTAGGGAACAAGCGGGGGTTAAGGATATCATAGTTGAAATCAAGAAGAGGATATGAACATGGGCTGGGCACGTAGCGCGTAGACAGGATAACCGCTGGTCATTAAGGGTAACTAACTGGATTCCCAGAGAAGGCAAGCGGGTTAGGGGGAGACGGAAGGTTATGTGGGCAGATGAGATTAAGAAGTTTGCGGGTAAAAATTGGCAGCAGCAAGCACAGGACCGGGTTAACTGGCGGAACATGGGAGAGGCATTTGTCCTGCAGTGGACGTAGTCAGGTTGATGATGATGATAAAGAAGTTTTAGCATTTAATTTTCGCTAAGTGTATACGATATGGATAGGTTATAACTAGGGTTTCGTGTTTTCGGAGTTCACTTTTCTTGAAATTCGGAGGGTGCTTCTCGGAGTTTATTTTTGTCAGGGAAATTCACTGCTTATCGGAATTTATTTCTCGTAATTCTGATTCTCTGAAATTCAGTTAATTTGGTATTATAAGCTGATCCAATATGTTCTTATCAATTTCATTTCAAATAAAAATGCGTTGCATTGTTGTCCTGTTGTTCCACCTTTTTTTTCTTCTCACTTCCTGTTAATTCAACCTTTCAATAAGGCTCTTGATGTGCA